TCTCTCTCTCTCTCTCTCTCTCTCTCTCTCAATCCATGCCGACCTTGCTCTTAAAAAACCAGCCGTGGAAATTAGGACGATAGCGGTAGCGGTGTGTGTTGGACGAGTGCCTAGAGCTAGAATAGACAAATAAGCGGGGGTAAGTCAAAAGGTAAGTGAGTCAATAAATATATAATTTATTAAATGCAATGATGAAATGGTGTAACAATAGGGGGTGGGCGAACGGCGATCGTAGGATCGCCATAAGGGCGGACAAGAGGTAATACGCTGCCCCGCCCAACACCCCCGGATCGGAAATATAGATAAAATATTTTCGTTATTATTTACAATATTAGTCGAACGTTAGTCAATAAATAATAAACAGTGGCGTAATCCTTTATTTAATATAATTTAATAATAATGTAATATTACGTTTGCGATAATAAAAATATTACAAGAGATGGAGCCTTTACCATTATTCGTTTCCACTAAAAGTAGCACGAACTTGTTTAAATTTTAATTGCAGCCATCGTTCCAAAATTCACGCGATCAGATGGATTCCCTTGGAACCGGATTGACCACGTGTCGACAATCGATCATCGTTCATGTTGCGTCTTGCCCGATGACAAGGAAATATGTATGTATATATATATGCGTGTATATGTATATATATACATATATACATATATAGTATCCAAGAAAATCAGCTTCGTGAATTTTCGAACGTGAATTCAAACGTCGGCTGGATGTAGATGTCGAAACAGCTGTCGAAACCATCAACCTTCCTTCGGGATAGTTGCTCTTCGCGAAATCGAATGGGATATAACAAATAATTAATCGGCGTTACGCTTCCTCGATATCGTGTAGAAAAACCGCATGGACGGCAAGGGCCGTCGGGACGCCACGCCGTCGGATTATCACAACGAAAGTACGCGACATGCTTGGACGTTATTATCGAGTAAAATACAGAGGATTGATCACCTCGATAAGACTAGAAATATGTTTATGTAACGCACGGGCCAGGCAGGCAGCAAGCAGGTACAAAGTGACCGTCTTAATCAAGGAACAGTGAGTAGAACATGAGCTAGGCACCGATATCCGATCGTTTCGACCTTTTCGACATCGTGATACAAACGTTCTACAGGATGACCCGTGATACACCAACATGACATCAAGATCGAAGCTCGTCGTATCTCGTCGTAAAAAACGCGTGGACATGCAAAATTCTTTTTTTTTTTTCTCTCTTTTTTCTCCTTTTTTTCTCTTATGAATCAATCAATCTCGCAATGCTTCTCCACATGCTTTCTTTTCTTTTTTTTTTTTTTTTCTTTTTTTTCTTTTTTTCGACCGATAGATGAAGAAACACGTATATGATGTCGATAGTATTTTCAGCTCGTTTGAAAAAAAAAAAAAAATGTATTTCTGTATGTATTTCTTCGAGGACAGACAACGAATTCTTATGCAATTTGAAATGCCAATTTTCGTGTGAAAAGTCGTGCTGGTTTATAACGAGGCATCTTACACGCGTATATATATCTCGTGCGATTTTCTGGAGACTGGACAATTGGAAATATTCGAATCTATAGCGCGAATCAATCATTCCCAATTAGAAGAGAAGTTTTCTTTTAATAGTCTTCTATACCTACTGATTCGTCTCTGCATCTAGAAAGTTTAGTTTGAAAAGTGGCATGACATATTTTCTCATTTGTATCGAGTTTAATTAAGTAGTAATAAAGTTATAATTAATTATTTATAATTAATTAAAGTGGCAGCAGTTAGGCCATGCGGCTCCTATCATCTAGTCGTCTTTGACTCTTGGCTTTCTTACGTAGATTTAAAAATTTGTTTACTTATTAAACTTTTATATTTTGAGAATAATTTTTATTAAGTGACTTTTAAAGTTTATGTATCCTCGAAGCGCCTACCCTAGCGATGTCTTTTAATTAATATTATTTTTTAGCATTTTCTCATTTTTTTATTTTTAATCCCGCCATGTTCTCCATACACCTCGATAATCTTGATGTACGTGGTAATTTAATGCGATTCTAAGAATAATAAACGGGGAACTTCTGAAATATTTTATCCGCGGCGTCGCCTTTTCCATCATGGGAACTTTCCTTAATCACGACCGAAAAATACTGTGTGCAAATATTTTATCAAACTTTTTTCTTTGATTATTACGTTTTAATATTTCTTTTTTTTTTTCTTTTTTTTTTTTTTTGTTCTCGAATATCGGAAAAGCGACGTAACCGCTGCATTCGAAGATCGGGCCACTGTCTCGGAAACTCGGAAGAAAAAAAAAAAAAGAAGAAAACCCATTTTTATTCTCGGCGTGTGTACAAAGTTCTAATTTTTCTCTTCTCTTTTATTCTCGCTTCTCGAAAAAAGATATATTAACATTAATGGTAAAATTCGAAGATTGATTGCCACGCACGAAGTTGTACAAAGCCCGACAGACTAAAAATATTTCCTAAAGTGAGATTTCCTTTTCGCCATCGGCCTCGCTCCCCCTTTTTTTTTTTTCTTTTTAATCATTTTTTTTTTTTTCGTTTTCTCTTTTAGTAATGTATACTATACTCGCTAGCCCTCGTTTAATATTTTCTTAAATATGTAATAAGCAAAAATATGAATATAATAATAGTTTTGTGTATATAATAATAATTATTATTTTACTCGTCTCATTTTAAGTATCGATAGGATCGTGATTAATTAATTAATTAATTAATTAACAATGATTAAAAGAGTGTAAGAATTTGTTATTCTCTTTCTTCCTCTTCTTCCATTCGCACCCTTCCCTCTTATCGTCTCTTTTTTTTTTTTCTTTTTTTGTTTTGTTTTTCATTATCAACTAATAATTCTTTAAGCTTAATGGCATGAAAATGCTCGTTGGAATTGACTCGTGTGTACAGTTTTATCATAATTCATTTCTTTTCTCTCTTTCTCCCATTCGCGCTCCGCACAATAATTATCTCGCTACAAAAACCTCATAGTTTGTCTTAAATACCGGAGGATCAACACAGGATTCTTTAATTTTTTTTTCTTTTTTTTTTTTTTACTTTTTATCTTTAATATATATATATATATATTATTTTATATTATTATATATATATATATATATATATAGAAGATGAGGATCAATCGGTCCTTCTATCAACAGATTCTCCCGACAGATCTGACGGCGGTTAATCTCAAAACTCATCATACCGGATTTGTCTGTCTGTCTGTCTGTTTTTTTCGTCTCGGCGTCTCGTGTCCCCAGTGGACGTCGAGACGTTCGATTTTTTTTTTTTTTTTTGCGTAACTTTTTTTTTTTTTCTTTAGTATTTTCCGCGGAAATACTTTCTTGGATCACCATTAATTTATCACAATAGATTTTTGTCTTCTTAAATGAATTTGAACGCGGGTACCACGGCTGTGCCCCCGTGCGCATATATTCCGCCTCGCTACACCTTAATTTACCTCTATTTTTTTTTTCCCCACTTTTTTTTTTTATCTAAAGAACCTTTAAAAAAATCCCCTACTGGAGAGAGAAACGGTAGGTAGTTTTGTAACAATGTAGTCGACTATCTTATCCTAATATAATTCTACAAAGTTGATTATACTGTGACTTTAAGCACAGCCCGTGGATGAAGTGCCCCCCCGTTTAAATAGAGAAAGGGCTCTTGATTTTTTTATGGATTTTTTTTTTTTTTTTTTTTTAAGTTGCTTTTACTTCTTACTTTTTTGTTTAAACTCTCTCTAGTTCTCACATTTTTTTTTTTTTGTTTGTTTTATTTCTCTAGCAGCCTTCTTGCTCACACGCTCATGCTCTCGTCCATGCTCTCTCTTTCTCTCTCTCTCTCTCTCTCTCTCTCTCTCTCTCTCTCTCTCTCTCTCTCTCTCTCTCTCTCTCTCTCTCTTTCTTCCTCAGATCTCAAATACACCAGATACTTCAGCGAAAATAAAATGTCTTTCTCGTTCATCGATCTGAATCGTATTCTTCTTATTTTAAAGCAACAAAGAAATTGTATCGTGCAAAGAAGAGATCATTGCTGCCACCTAATTTCGATTATGCAGTATCGTAAATATCTTCTGAACGTTCGCGTACAATGGATATTGCACCGTATTATCAAACGGCAATCAAACATTCGCATCACGTTTGATCGTAAAGAGAAAAAAAAAAAGAAAAAAAAAGGAAAGAAGAAAGAAAGAAAGAAAGAAGGGAAAAGAAGAGAAAAGAAAAAAAGAAATGAAAAAAATGACACGAGATTCGAATCTCTTTTGATTCAAAAATTCGATTTCGCGTAAATATATATATATATATATATATATATAGTGAGAAAAAAATAAAATAAATGAGGAAAAGCGTTCGATACGACAGCTACAAATAAAAGATTCGCGTGTCGAATTTCGATCGCTTTTCATAAATATTAAATACTTAATATTAATAAAAATTAAAAAAAGCAAACAAATAGAACGTCTTTAAATTCTCGTTTAAAATAACGCGCGATATAAATATTTAATATATTCTTTTTCATCTCTCTCATTCCGAGATTAATATGGGAAAACGTAAAATAGTATACACAAGTATTTTTTATGTCTGTATGTGTGTATGTGTGTACGTATGCGTGTGAATCATACAAAAAAAAAAGAATAAGAAAAAAAATTCTTTCTTAACGACGTTTCTACAAATTTTTAACAATACTGTTCTTCCATCGTCGTTGTCTACATCGAGTCTTGTATCGTTCATAATGTAAATCATAGTTAGTAATCTTAATTAAAATAAAAAAAAAAAAAAAAAGAAATGAACATACTTAACTTAGTATTATCGCGTGAAACACTTCGACGGACAACGCGAACAAATGGACTTGAAGAAAGGCTCAAAGGCTTCAAATTCCAGATGCCAGATTTGCAAAGGATTGGAAAAAAAAGGAAAGGAAAAAAAAAAAAGTATTTATACAATGTATCAAAAATCAATGCAAATATAGTCGTTCTGAAAAAAAAGAAAAAGAGATTTCGGCAAAACAAAAAACATAACTTCTTTTTGTACCGTTAACCGTGAAAAATAATTGTCGAATAATTGGATATGCCACGAGCGGAGGGCAATTCTACGAACAATGCTACGATCATGATTCGACTGATTTTAAATGAATGATTCGAAATCAATCAATGCATTATCTATTATGCTTGAATCGCCTTGCAACACGTGTATATATATATGTATGTATATATATATATACACGAACGTGTCAGAGAGACCATGATAGACCACCTACCTCTGATACCACTTAGCGTCACGTCGACCGAGGAAAAAAAATGCAGGAAATGGATATATTAAACGGCAGCTTCAGAATAAATTGAAATGAAACGAAAAGGTAGATCGGGATGACGACATCGAATCCCTCGTCTGAATTGTGTGGGTCAAAGAGATGATGGAGAGATTTTCGTTTAAGATCGAAAGGCAGGTACGTGATCAGGGATGTAAGAGAGTAAAGCGTGTCCGTGTCGGTTGTTGATCGTCAAAGGATTTCTTGGACTTCGTGTAATATTCCTTGGAACCTTTTTTTTTTTTTTTTTTTTTTCTTTCTTTCTTTTCCGCGAACCTCGACGAAAATTCGGCCATTACGGCGACCACTTCGCCCGTTAAAATTGGCGGCCACGTTAAAATTGGTTGGCTAGGCTCTATTACTTTGTGTCCGACGTATCATCACCATTTTGTGTGCCGTTCGATCGACAGTCGATTAAGTGACCTCTGGGTTGGCGGCTACTAGGCTGGCCCCTGGGCTAGATGAGGGCGAGCTTTGGGGGACAGCAACCGCCCGTAAAATGCCCGCTGGCGGCCTCCCGTTCCCGTTTGCGGCGGCCCTGGCGTTCTGCAGCCTAATTCGAGAAATGCATTCGTTCATGTAGATCGAATTAACCTCGTTAAACTATTGCGAATGTGCATACATGACACTGAATGATCAAGCACTCTGAGGAACACGTCAACTACGAAACAAACGAGCGCATCTAACTCGGTGAAACTGCAATTAACACTTTGCTCGATTGTATTGAAGTACTTTGCGTCACTATCGCGCAAATTAACGCAAAATTGTGTCCGTATTCTTCTCGAATACAAATGTAATTGTATTAATTATTAAATCGTTTCACGTTTCGTTCGAAAGTACTTCAATTTTTTCTTTTTTTGTTTTTTTTTATTTTTTTTATTTTTTTTATTTTTTTTTTTTTTTAATTGAACTACTCTACTACTAGGGTGAGCAAAGTGATAATTGAAGATAATATCTTCTCGTCTCTATGAGAAGCTCCGTAAATGATGGACCGTTGCATGGACTGGTTACTTCCGTTAAAAAACACGATTAAGACATATAAAACAGAAAACACAAAGCACCGGTTACATTCCGTATATAATAAACACAGAAGCTAATCAATATAATTCGTATCGTCGGAAACAATAGATTATTCGTTATTCGGAGGGGAGTCGTGAAACAGGGTGCACTGATCGTCCTGGTGAAAGCAAAAGAGCGAGTATCCTTTTAAAGAGATACAGGAGCGATAAACGAGCAGTGTTTGCCGCGCGACAATCGCCCTACTTGTTTTCGTTACTTACCGGTCGTGAATCGTCCCACGACAAGCTGCATTAGTACACACAGAAGAGGGAGACTTTAGAACTTTAGATGTCTTTCGTACGATAAGCCTTTCGTGTGCTAACAAGAAGTCTACATAACTAATAATGCGTGCACATCGTTGCAACAGGAAATGCAATTATGTGCACCGACTGATACTAACTTGATTTTCGATTGCCGCATAAACTGTTGGATCTTCCTTGCAGCTTGATGAGCAGCCTGCTGATGAACCGCTTGCTGCCTCGAGCTGGCCGAGCCAGGACGCGAGCGATAATTCCTGTAGTTACTTTGTATCACCAGAGCAGCTTTCGTAGCTTGTCTGCGAAATGGTAGAGAGAGAAAAAAAAAAAAACAAAAAAAAGAAAAATAGACCATCGTGAAATAAGAAGTTGCAAAGACACGCTCTGGGGATGCGCTATGTATATATATATATATATATTATATGGAAAAGAAGCAGGGGAGGGTAAGCTTTCATCTCAAACAAAAGTCGTATTAATTTAATGCCAGGTTAATTTTGTATTCGGAACACCGCGGCGGAGGTAAGGAACTTGCTCAAGTTTTCGAATTATTTACGATGCCAATTAAAAGTTCACCCCCCTCGGTATACCCCCCGAGAGATAGATAGAACGAACTTTGGTGAAATCCGTCCGATTTAACTGGATCGTTAAATTGCCCCCCACGATGCTACCGTCTTCGTGTCCTCCCTCTTTATTAATTGCCGCTTATTAAAACTAACGGTTCCAAAGTTCGCGAAATAACAACTCGAACGATTCGTGGCGACGAAGATCTCGAGTACGCTTGTTATATTATTATTATTATTATTATTTTCAATCTGAAACGTCCCACGCTAAAACGTGACGAAACATAAATCCGGTCTGGTTGGTCCAGATAAATCGAGAAGATAAAACGAAGAGCAAATAATACACGGCCGCGGCGTGTTAAGCTAAAAACAGATTACCTAAAATAAGCGTACTGTTTATGTCGACGATAATATTGTTGGATGAGTACAGCAGCGTGTCTCTCCGCTTCCTCCTGCCTCTGTCGCCCCTTGTAATTTCTGTAGGCTTTCTGGATCATTCTAGCGGCGTGATAAAGCTCTCTTTGCTCCCGATCGGACAGAGTTAGCCTGCTCAGATCCGCTTCGTTCCCATCACCGTTTCCGTTACCACCACCTGTCACAGTCCCGCAAATCCCAGAGCCGATCACGTTACCGAACTTTCGATCTCCACCGGTCGAATAGTACTGGCCGTTATGGCCGTTATTGCCGTCAAGCTGCAACTGCAGCTGCAAGAATTCGCAGAAGTCGGCCGTCGTAGGCGGTGGAGATGGCGAGTCCGGTGTGAGGCAGCTGCTAGACGGACTCGAGGGGCTAGCATCTGCGTCAGCATCCGAGACTGATGCCGCTCCTCCACTGCACTCGCGATACGAGTCGAACAATTCTCCAGAATCGAGCGGCTAGAAGAATTATCATCACAACAACGACATGAATTTATCTCATCAACGAAATGAAATACGAATATGAATACGAAAACTATGGTAAAAACATTTTATTTGATTGTAATTTTAAAGAGACGATATGATAACGCTTACCATTTGTTCCATCAAAGCATCCTCCAGAGATGACAAGGGCGGTGCCGGGGGAGGTGGCGAGGAAGAAGACGGAGAATCACCTTCCGCTCTCTTGATCCTTTCCGGTAGCGCTGCTATAATTTGCTCAGCCAATGTCAGCACCCTCGCGTCTTCTTCCCCTATAAAAAGGAATCACCACCCTAGCCAAACTCGAAAAACGTGTTACAGGACCGCCGAAATCACATTGATCACAACATCGAGGTTTTTTTTTGTTTGCTCTTTTTTTTTTTTTTTTTTTTTTTTTTTTTTTTTTTTTTTTTTTTAAGCCGTGAACGTATTTTATACGATGAACCAAATCAGATGTTAATAAGACATGTGACACCAAAAATTGCGGATTATTTCGTTTGTATGTTGCTGAGATTTTTCTACACGATACGAATCGAACGTCTTCAAACAGGTAAATCAGATGGCGAGTGTAGACATTTTTCTCAGGCTTTGTTGAATGTTCTGCTCTACGGGTCTTACGCAGCCCGTGGTATATAGTGTGTGTTTTTTGCGGATTTAGTCAGCTGTACAGATCACGTGTTCTCGTGTAAATTTGTCTCGTAGCTTCCAAATTTTATTTTATTTTATTTTATTTTATTTTATTTTATTTTATATATGTATATATATATATTTTTTTTTTGTCACGGATATCCGCTTTAAAACTTGTCGGCATAACCCAGACGAGATTGTCTCTCGAGGAATTGGTCGACAGCCGATAATAGACGGCTAAGAAAGTTTTTAGACGTTACACAGCAATCATCCAACACCAGCAGTTACGAAGGCCAAGCAACACCAATACTGCTTTAAGCTGCAAGAGTTCAGAGGAGTTAGAGGACAGTGAGCCTGGACCATGTCCGGTCGTCTCGTACGCATAGACAGAGAGACAAAAAAAAAAGAACACTGTGTGTGTACGTGTGTGTGTATGTAATGTGTGAAAAGAAGAGATAGATAGAGAGAGAGAGATAGAGAGAAAGAGAGAGAGAGAGAGAGAGAGAGAGAAAGAGAGAGAAAAAGAAAAAGAATAAGGGGACGCAGTTTTAGCTAGGAATACTACGGATCACAGCCCGCGCAGTACTTGTTTATCTAGGCCGATGAATCTATAAGTGTAGTAGTTAGAAACAGACAGAGTTACGAATATGTATATATATATATGTATTATATATGTATATATAATACATATATATATATTTACAGATAGACAGGCAGACAGACAGACAAATAGAAGGGGAAACGAGGAAGGTACGGACCTACAGTCTCCTGAGGGGTCGGAGCGCTTTCCATTCCCTGCTCGCTGAGGGCTAATGACGAGTCATCCTCTTGCAACAATTCCATGTTGTCCAGCAGCGGCGAGCCACCTGTGTTTTTCGATAAACCCCTTAATGCTACGTTTCCTGATTAATTTTACGCTCGCATGACCTTGTACTCTAAATCTTACAGGAGGAGGGGGAGGGGGAGGGGGAGGGAGGGAGGAGGAGATTTTTATATGCCGCGGGTAATCGTCAGGAAAAAGGAACTGTGATTTACTGTGTTGGACGTGAATGTATGTGCGTGTATATACGGAAGAGGGCAGTATAATAGCAAACGAGACTAACACAACGCCAGATCGAGACCGCTGTCTTGAGATGGCCTCCTAGGGCTAGGGCTGGCGGGTCGCAAGAAAAGCCTCTCGTCTTGTCTTCTCGCTTCGAGTCGATTCAATTCTTCGGCGATCGCCGTGTGACCGTTCTCCGCCGCTAACTCGGTCGCAGTTCTGTTCTGACAATCCCTCACGCGAAGCGCCATTGCGTTCCATCTGTGTGCGTGTGCAAACAGGACATCGATTTTGACAATTCGAACCAATGAGAAAATGGCGACGAATATTGGCAAAGCGAAATACGAACCTGTACAGAATTCTGGCAGTATCCGCGTGCCCTGCCGCGCAAGCCCAAGCGAGCGGCGTAAGACCTGCGCTATCTTGCCTCAGAGCATCGACCTCGGCATCTAACACGCTACTAGGATTTTCCGCTCTCCAGTGAAGGAGGGCACAAGCTAACCTGGAGTAGCCCAATCCTGCGGCCAAATGTAAGAGAGTAGGGCCGCCGGATTGTAACGGTTCCGCTCCGGCTCGCCACGGACGGACAACGGCATCCTGAGACGGATAGACGATCGAGTTCGTTCGGATCAATGAGAAATGTACGAAGAAAAGAGCATTTGAAGTTGGACGAGCTTGCTCACTTGACAATACGCCACTAATCGCTCTTCCAGATGTGCTGCGGGAGACGGCGGACCCGGTCCTTGCAAACGTGACTCAACATCCGCCAAACGGTCCAAGAGAGCTCGTTCCGGGCTTGGCTCGGTTGTTGGCGCGCGACGATACTCGAAAGCAACGCTGTCGGAAACGACGAACCCGTCACACGCCACCTGAAGAGACGCTATCCCCGGAGCATGAGCTGGACAACGACACCGCAACACTCCTGGTTGTACCAAACACGCTTCGACCGGTTCGGCGTCGAACAACACCGAATAAGATTGAGAATTACTCCCACCGGTCCAAGGGCCAGCTACCAATACCTGAAAACGGAGAATTAAATTCCATCGCTTAAATTCTCCTATTAATTCGCGATTTCAAACTTCGACCAACGTCGCGCTACTATCATCCCCTCCTATCAATTATCATCCAACTCACCTTTACACCACCTTCCGTATAACTCCACTCCGGACTGTACTCCGCGATATGGACGGTTGTTCCAGGATGACATCCCACATCGTTATCGGACCCTCCCCTCTCCTCGGCCTTAGTCTGCTCAGCCTCGAAATCGTGAAGCTCCGGCAAATCACCGAACACGTCGAACGCGTCCAAATTGACGAGGACGTCGTCCGACGAATCGATGAAATCCATTGGATTGATCATACTGTTGTCCGCCGGGGAAGGGGACGGGGATGGTGGTACCATGTTCGCGGATAACGTTCGCTGAATGTCCTCTTGACTCAGGTCCAAAGTCTCGGCGAAATCGGTGACCTCGGGGCCGGCGCCACCGATCGGCAACGATTGCACCGTGCTACGATCCATACTTTCCTGGGCTTCTATTTCCTGCTGGGTCTGTTGCTCTCTGTCCACGCTCGTCTGCTGTACGATTTGTTGCTCCGGAACCTGTTGCATTTCCACTTGTTGGCTTTGTTGTTGTTGCTGCTGTTGTTGTTGCTGCTGCTGCTGCTGTTGCTGCTGTTGTTGCTGTTGCTGTTGCTGCTGCTGTTGTTGTTGCTGCTGCTGCTGCTGCTGTTGTTGATGGTGATACGGTTGGCTGTTCAGTATCAGAAGACCGCCACCACCTTGAATCTGTTGCAAACTTAAAACTAAAGGAGCCGGTTGTTGGCTTTGAGTCGTGTGGGAATGTCTTGAGTATACGCGAGGAGCCGGTGAGGCTGATGTCGACGATTGCTGACCTCCGGTAGTCGAAGAAACCTGATCAAGAAACCGAGAGACGAGGATCAAATGTAAAACGAGTATTATTATATCTTGGCAAAGATCAAAGATCCGATCAATAAATAAATAACGTACCTGATTGTCCGGCGTTAATCTCCTAGGTGCAAGCTGAGTGCTGGTGGTAGAGGAAGTGGAAGATGCTCTCTGTCTGTCCAACAGTTGAGAAACTATCATGTCGACGGGATGATTCGAGTGTTGAGTAAGGTGAGGATTGTTCGGATCGTCGTCTCCACCGAGGAACATAGGTCTAAGCTGAGAAGCCAGCTCGTCACGCGTCCACTCCTTCTTGTCTGGCGGCAGTGCGAGACACGGTGGCAGCGCCGCTAGCTTTGCATCACCGTCCGGGTAAGGAACGTTTAAGTAGTGAACGAGGACGACGTCTGGATTCTGTAGTAGCCAATAACATCGCCGATGAAACGTCGGAAGGATCGCCGAGTGCACGTAACAGCCGTAGATGCACTCGACTCCCTGCACCTGTACAATTCGACCGAAAAAAACGATCTGTAAATATTCCTCGCCCTTCCTCTTCTTTCATTTCCCATTAAAATGAAAAACCACCTTCAGTTTCATGTGATCCTCTCGTGTAGTTTTACCATCTTTCCGTTTCTTCCAGCAATAACCGTCCCGCCGGTAACGGACTTTCTTTCTCGAGTACAGTAACATCGAACCACTTCGAGGTCGTACCTTCACCTCCCGACTTTGCCATTCCGCGTGTCTTTGGAAACTGATCAAGATGGCAGCAATCTCCTGATAACAAGAAACCAAACCGTTCGATTTAGAGAAAAAGAAAAAAAAGGAAAAAGAATTCGCTTATTCTCTATTCTCTATTTTATCCCTAACACGATGCACACAACGATAGATTTTCTATCGTGGTATGCACTTTGAAAGTGCAACTGGAAACTTGTCGAGATGACGAAGATAAGACAAGCTCGGCAAAAGTAGGATATGCGAATTCAAGAGAACATATAGACGCTCAGCCTTGCTGACATCCGCTCCTTCCGAGCATTTTGCTTACTATTGCAAATCTTACCGATACATCTTTCAATCTTCCTTCGATTCTCATCCTCGCGAATAACCGATAAAACGAAGACGAGTTGGGAAAAATTGTCAACGCACCAGCCAGCCCGAGACACTCCTTTCCATCTACTAAACGTCGAGAACAAATCTTTTATTCCAATCAATGAAAAGGGGAAAGTTCTCGAGCCTTTTATTAAAGTTAAATCGTTTTCTACCCTGGTTACACGCTCGTACGAAAAATAATGCGCGCGTTCGTTTCTTTCATGTTTATCACTAATAATAGCAACTCGGTTATTATACCGACTCTTTATTGATTTCCCCGTACAGAGAACTGTATATAATACGAATCTTGCGAAAAACGAAAAACGCATACGATAGATATTCAAAAGTAAGAAAACGAAAAACTCGTAAAGAAATCAGTGAAAAGAGATTTCGCAGATTTAGTTAATCGCGATACATCGTTCTCGTACGTACGTACGTACGTACGTACGTAAGTTGACATGCAATCAACTGGGTGGAAAGGAAACTGTTACTACACGTGTACAAGACGGGAAGAGGGAAAGAGAAAAAAAGGGGCACGAGGATTAGAAAGAATTCGATTTTGTATAAACGTCCGAGGAACGGGCCGAGATGATTATCCGCAATTTCCTTCCGTCGACGACGACGACGGAATGGATGAAGAAAGCGGCAACCTCTCGGGGCAAGAAAAAAAAAAAAAAAGGAAAAAAAATTGAGCGGCGTAAGGTGAAATAAGTACACGTGGCGATCAGAAAATGCACGGCACGCGATCTCACGTGGTGCAATGCAAATCGAAATCGCCAAACTGCAGCTGATTCCAGTCTAACCGTGGAAACGTGGCCGGCAATAAAATTCTCCCGGTGTTGATATAATAAAGTTCAGTCGGGGAGACGCTTCGCGTGTCGCCTTCGACTCGCGATCAATCCGATTACCACTACTACTACGCAACCAGTTACTCCAGTTAAAGATCACCCCGTGAGATTCTGCAAATGTTCTCCACGTGTACATATATACATATATATATATATATATATCTCGAGGATTGGTTGGATTAACCGTGGAATAATCGAAGCTACACGACCGCAATGATCGAGGAATCTCGCGATACGTTTCGCACCGATGGTTAGCTCCTGATTGGGGTTGCTCGGTTGCCAAGCTCGACCCACAAATCGTACATTTCGAATTAGGTATGTCAAGATTGCCCTCGTGGCGCGGTTCCATCGAGAGGACACGATTCTATTCTACCGGGGAGAGGATGCGGGGAGACGACGGATCCGTGTGCTCGTTAACGTTCAAGTCGAATTACGTAATAAAATTATAGCGAGGAAAGCCGCCGTGGAAAAAGTATAATCTGGGGGGGAAAGAAGGTAGACGCGATAATTACCGGGAGAACCTTTGTCTCTCGTTAAGTTAGAAAAGGGGTAATTGGTGGGGAGAGGGGGGAGGATGGAGGGAAAGGGAGGGGGATGGGGAAGAAAAAAAAAAGAAAAGGGGGGAGAGAGAAAAAAAAAAAAAAAAAAGAGGAGCAAAGTATGGTTCAGAGTGCTTAATATCTTTTGCACTCCGTTCCCGTGGGTGGGCCTTCGAGTTTCCAAAGGTTCTCCAGTGAACGTGGCCTGGATATAAATATTCTTAACGAGGGATGGACGAGAAAGAGCGGGACGGGTAGGGAGTAACTGGAGTACCGGGTGGAGAGGGGAAAACGGAATAAGAGGGCGGCCATAGACCGACCATTAGGCCAGCCAAGCGTCGACGAAGTAGAAGAAAGGTAGATAAAGCTTGCTCTCCACTATGTTGCATTGATTTACTAGTGGTTAATTGATCACTCGCATTCCGTCGGGAATATATTTATATACGGTCATACGTAGAATAAGAAACGCGGAATTTCCCATCCCTTTTGCCTATAATTACTCACAGCCTGCTGATCAATCGCAGAAAAGGTCAAGTGGGATCAAGAGGGGGTTGGATGCATCGTATGATCGATGCCCATTTCTCATTTCACTCGTATCCGAATCTCTTTCAAATCTATTTTCGCGATTACGTAAGAGACGTGCACAAGATTACGCATCCAGCATAATTAATAATAACCCCGGTATCTTATTTTTATCGATTTATGGAATCAAAGCTTTCCCCACGAAATCTTCTTCACGCGAGGCGCCCACGTAAATTGATTTTCTATGCGTTTACCATATTTTGCAACGTGCCAGACGTGAAATGGGTCAGGCAACGTGGAGAGAATAGTTTAACTTGAAAGACGGCGTCTGACAGTGCATATCGTTATGTTGCGTGCAAGGTCGGCTACCATGCAACGCCAGTCAGATTCACAAAAATTTTTACCCGTTATACTACCTGTAATTGCGTATCTGTAATAATATTCAAACTCTCCGTTTTTTTCCTTTTCTCTCTCTCTCTCTCTCTCTCTCTCTCTCTCTCTCTCTCTCTCTCTCTTTGCCTCCTCAAACGCGTCCAAGTTCTGTTTCGTAACGAATCCACAAAAGCGAAGAAGGTCAGTCGGCGTACTCTTTGAACCGAGACCGATCTATAGATCTTTCAAGATACGATGAAAGAGCCCATAGATTCCTGTATTCGGTTTAGCGGATACGTAAACGAGACGCCTTCTGTCCCACGTGTTACCGGAAAGGATGTATTCTCCTTGATTTACGAATGCAAAAGGACCGATAAATCGACCCTCCTTCCGACACCCGAAACGAAGATGCAACGTCCTTCCAATCCTTTCTTCGTATTTTACGAATACGTATCCGAAGGAATTTTATCGCCGATTGATAATCGATAAAAGAGAAGGATAAACTGCGAAACTAGGGTACAGGCAGAAACAGAAACTTCCGTGTTCCATGCGCAGCCGGTGACATTCGTCGTCGGCAAACAGTGGAATCTAACTTGTGCAACTTGACAGACAACTTTTCGTCGCGAGTACATAAATATTTCGCAAGTTTTTCGTACGTAAAAAGCCACTTTATGAAGAGATAAACATCACTTCGGAATGGCTTGCAAGTTCGAAGTCGCTGTCAGTGGTATATGTCGGTATTTGCTCAGACAAGGGGAAGCGACAAGAGCACGCGACATAAAAACGTCAACATCGAAAACTTTCGTTCAACGATATCAAAACATGCTTGCAAGTTTTTCTTTTTTTTTTTTTAAGAAATATAAAGGAATAATTTCAATGACCGAAGACGTTAAATACAGATTCTTAAACATCTTCTAAAAAGAGAAACCAATAAATATTAAGTGAAACTTTAAGAATTAATTAATCGTTGAAGAATCGTGGTTTATAAATTTAAAAAAAAGCTTCGAGAAATGTAATTTCGATAAAATCGTACTCTTGGAAATTGGATTTTCTTGAAACCACAAAATCGTTTGATTCAAAATGCAAAAGGTTTGAAGTGAAATCCATCTGAGAAATTGCAATCGATGCGACCCACATACACTGGTTGCTTCGTCGTTGCGGGAAAAAATTAACCAATTTCGATCGACGTTTCGAATCAAAAGTGCATTGGATAGTGACAATGATCGAGGATCAATCGATAGAAATAATTTTTCTTAATTGAGACGGAATGCATTGGAAATCGGCAAACGTACGGAGTCAGAAATAAGCAAATGTTGACCGTACAATAATAATAGTCCTGTTTGCCGAAATCAATTTCGGTGTTACATCCAAATACAATTTTGCTGAAAAACGGTGCAATCGGAAATTGCATTACTGACAGTGCAAACTAACGTTTAATTGCGTCGACTGTCATTGTATGCCCAGGTAAACTGTAGCTATTCAATGCATTTATACTGCGCTGCAATCGGAAATCAATAAGCAAACAGAAACATTGTTTTCGGATCGATTTCCGCTTACAGATAGGTCGTGCGGTTTCGTATGCTCATCAATTAAATGAAACGTTATCGCAGAAATTTGACGAAGGGGACCGGTATCGACCGGTAAAAATTAAAAAAAAGTCCAATTGAATATTTCAAAATGTCACGGTTTCTTTATACGGGCCACGCCAACTAAGATAATAAAAAAAAAAATAATTCAATTTTTTCGTAATCACGTAGAAAATCGCACACGTAAATGGAACAATCGTCGACATCCCGATTTAAAGATAAAATTTACGGAGATCCACGTACTATTACGTGTCCCGGAATTTTCAAATTATTTGGCCCATGGTATGGTATTGGTTTAATAAATCAACGTGATTAAGCCTCATTACTTAAAAGTGCAAAACAAATGATATGCTTTTCCTAGATATGTGGTAAAAATTATTACTATAATTTCACTAGCTGTGAATATATTCGCCGTTGTGTCTTGTTACAAATGGGATTCGATCAGGCAACGATGGTAAAGGGAGGAAGAATCACGACAAGAGATCTTGGGAAGTTATCAAGCATCGATTCGCGATGAGAAAGGAAAACAGGAATACGAAAAAGCAACGGAGGCGTTGTTGGGAGGGAATAATCGATAAAGCAACCTGAGGCTACACACGTCCTTTTTTCCCTTCTTTTTCCCTTCCTTTTTTTTTTTTTTGTTTCTTCTTCTTCTTCTTCTTCTTTTTTTCTGGGCAATAAATTTTAGCTTCGTATAATCGAGGCTATTAAAAAAGTTAATAGGAAAAGTTTGGACGGAAGAATTCCACCACCGGGAACGAAATTGATTCGATTCGGTACAGAACAGAGAACACATCGAGCTACTTTGTGCCCGTTTGAAGTTTAGACTTGATTGCGACCTGTCTCCAATAACAACTTAGAATTTGGCAACGAGTCAATAAAAATTCAGTCCCGGCAGCACAACCGGTCTGAACAATGGACTCTTTGCTACGTCAATCGAATAAACCGAATTTCCATTCCCAAAGTTAGAGTTGACCCGTCGGTTAGTTAAACCCTGCCGAGGCATAGGCATCGCAATCAAAAGTGGACTGAAAGTTTACCGCACTCCATTTATCTAGCCGTGGAATATTTTATTCGCGGGATTTTCACGTGTTCCGTGAAAGATGGGACAATTCAAGAAGTCGGATGACGACGTGCTCGTATACGCTGTCAGGGGAGAGAAATGGCGTGGAAGGAAGAGCGGTACCGTGTCGAGGGAAGTTAAAGGGGGGAGGGAAAGAAAGCAGGCAAGAAAACAAGATCACGGCGAGGGATGCGAATCCCTAGCAAAGGATTTCGACTGCATGCACGAGCTTTTAAACTTTCTCGCGGTACAAAAAGTTGCTCCGTTAACTTCCTAAGAACTTCATCCTATGAATAGTTTCGCGAGCATGAATCCCTAATGCGCCGGCCTTTCATCCGTTCCGCGGTTTCTTCGAGATAAGTGAAAAAAAAAAAAAAAAGAAAAAAAGGAAGAAGAAGAAGAAGAAGAAGAAAATAAAGGGAAGAAAAATGAATTGACGTAATATTAATAGGAATACTCTGTCTCGAAGTTCTAAGAAGCGGATAATAGAGGCTTCATTCATATTTATGATACCGATAATTCCACGTCAAAATTACGTCAAAATTTAGACGATGGACGAAGAACGTGCATAGACGAGCGATGCAGCGCTCGAGTTGACCCGATTAGCAATGCATATTACACACAGCGATAGATAAACGAAACAAGAGGCAAGTTGAATAGTTCAACTTGGGATTCTCGACGATCGGTTAAAGGTAGTAAATTTTGAAGAAAAACAAATCAAACTTTTGAAACAGAGGGATACCGGGACGGGATTGGTCGGAGAAACTTTCCCTGGTTCGCGAGATTAATCTTAGCAACGATATAAAAAAGAGGATAATTCTGGAATAATCGATATCCCTTACTTTCTTCTTTTTTTTTTTTTTCCGACGATGTTTAAAAGATAGGTCTGTGAAAGAGGGTAGGAAAAATGAAAAACCACAAAAGGAAAGAGGGAGGGGAAAGGGGAGGGAGGAAAAAACGGATGAAAAGAGAGTTATCATCGACAAAGGATAGGAACAGGGCAAGCATAGGCTCGCAATTCGGTTCGACTCGACGGAACTGAAAACTCAACTCAACTCGGCTCGGCTGAGCTCTCTAGCTGGCTCCAGCTATTGATCGGGGGCCGACCGGGGTCAGAGTAGCAGTGGACTACATCGGTACACCTACGAGTGCAGGGTGCTCCACGTGTTGGTATGTGCACTCCTGCACACCGATGCGAGCTTGCACACGGACGGACAGCATCTATCCTCTCTAACCACCGACGCTACGTACGAGCCACCAACGGCGTTGCGACGTCGCTATTTACTTTCCAGTTGCCTACTGAAATGCCGTGTAAATGTATATCCAGTTGGTGCTGCTAGAAAACTGTATGCTCTTTTGTTGGAATTCGACCGAGACATTACTTTTTCTAACCTGCTTTCCTTTCTTTTTTTTTTTTTTTTTTTTTTCTTCTTTTTTTTCACTCGCGTACCCGTTCCCATTTGAATTTTTCTACGCTCCCATTCTACGCTCCTGTACAGTCTTTTCGTTCTCTCTCTCTCTCTCTCTCTCTCTCTCTCTCTCTCTCTCTCTCTCTAATTTTTTCTCTCGCTCTCTCTCTTCCCTTAATCGAGGAGAAGTTGAAGTAGTAGCAGACAGAACGTTTTATAGAATTTCCAGTTAAAAATAATCGCTTTCAAACTCACCTCGTTGGTGTTCCATCGGTGCCTCTGAGTTGGAAAATGTTCAGCTCGTGGCAAGGTCTCCAAATTCTCCGGAAGTTTTATCGGATCTCCATCTAAACGGGGAGGAAAGAAAAAAAGAATTCGATGAAAATCTGATCTCGACGATTGGAACGTTTTTCTTTCTTTTTTCCCTTTTTTTTTTTTTCGCGTAAAATACGAATTTTTCGAAATTCAAAGAATATTTAATAAAGTAATAGTATCAATTAATAGTATCAATTACATCATTCGTTTGGTTAACTCTTTCAATCGTTAATCTGATTATCATGCGAGTTACTAATAATTTGTGCTCGCATATATTTATTTCGACGAAAGCTTAGACGTTTGCATAACACATCATTAATCGTGTTTATATACAACGGATCGAAGCTTCTATCGATCGTAACATAACTCGTGTACGAGAGAAAGAAAACACAGTGTTAAAAGTAATGCACTTTTCATGTGCATAATATTACTTTCCCGGGAATGTAAACGCATAATTTACTGAAAAAGAAGGAAAGGAAAAAAAAAAAAAAGTAGGGCCAAGAAAACAATTTTCCTCTTTTTTCATGTTAAAGTAAAAAAAACTTAAATATAAATTCAATCCGATAATTTAACTGTCAGAATCACGTGATACATTTTTAATTATATACTATTGGTTAATAATTCTATTCGTGTAAAAAAAAAATATGGTAATATTATCACGATTCCTTGGAAACAGGAAATAATCGCGAAGAATTCGTGGCTTCCTCGTTAAAATGCTAAATGTGTAGTTTATTACTAATAAATTACGCGTATTGACATTTCAAGACATTAAGGAAACGCTTGTTCGTCGAATGAAATATTTCGGTTTGCCCACCACAAGTTTGCCCAGAACGTTATTCTATTGATACCGATAATACAACCGTATTTTCTCTGATAATTTATTGCCGATACCTTCTGCCTAGCGCGTGCATTTTTATGCAATCGTATAAAAATGTCATCCAAATCGAAGATGAAAAATATTTCAAAGCGGAAACTCGAAAGGAAACTCGAAATAAGATCATCACCGAGGGACGATAAATCGAAGATCGTGAAATAAGACATGGAAATAAACGGTTAACACCCGTTATGGGTGAATCGAAGAGCATAGAGGGGAAGAAGATTCGTGTATGAAAAAATTGTGGTGGACGCGTGGGGCAAAAGATAAAGGACTCACTTGGTGCGAGAGGCGTCGGGTAGGTCGCATGATAGACGACACGCTGTGGATTCGAATGATTGTAGCCCGCCATTTCCGTGGCGCTCGTCAGAGCGACCGCTTCTTGGATCTTACCGATCGTGGCCGATCGTCATCGTCCCTGAACGTACGCGTAGCGCGATCGTTTCTGTGCTCTCGCAGACATCCCCAGGCTCCTCGTGAATTTGGACGAGTGTGCGGCTGATATGGCGACTCGACAATGGTCGGTGTTCGCGATTCTAGACCGTGACAAGCTACGACGGCACTCTTTTTGTCAGGAGAGCTTGCTGCCGGGTTCTAGGATGGAAACACGACTCGCTTGACGTTGTCCTCTGCGTGAGGCTCGTGCACGTGGGTGGTGATTCCCCTTAGAACGGCAGGACATATCCCCCAAAGAATCGTGTACGCGAGCCAGGTTGTTCGTTCGAATTATTCTACCCTCGTTTCAAAAGTTAATCCAATTTATTCCGCCCGCTTCTCCCCCCTAAAGGAATCAAGAGTCACAGACAGATAGTGATTCACGATAAACGTTGCAGACTCTTCTCGACGCGACGTCAATGCAATGGACAACACACGTGGAGATAAGACGCGTAAAAAACGACACCGTGATAAAGATCCAACTTTCGTCTTCTTCCTCTTCTTCGCGTTTTAAATACTTGTTCGCATTAGTATAAAAAACTGGAGCCCCATTTTATTCTCGTAGATTAATTCAACGAACAATTTTCTCGACGAATCTTCTCTTCGTTTCTTCCTCTCCTCTTCGTCTATCTCTATCTCTTAGTGTTCTCTGTACCTCTTCGACCTTGGTTCTCTTCTTGTCTCAGTCCTTTCTCGAATCTCTCTCTTTCTTTCTCTCTTTTTCTCTCTCTCTCTTCCCGACACACACACACACACACGTACACGCACGCACGATCTCTCTCTCTCTCTCTCTCTCGCTCACTCGCTCGCTCTCTCTCTCTCACAAACACACACTCTCCTTCTCTCGTTCTTTCTTCAACTCTTCCCTTTTATTAATTTTCTTTCTTGTTGTGCGTTCCAGGAGCTCTTATTCTTCTTATATCCTAAGTTACAACACTGAACCTGTCCCTGGAGGGACAAAATAATGTAAGGGTCACACAGTACAGAGAGAACTTAAAAAGAGATTCGCCCACAGCTGACGCGTTTTACGATCGCCTTTAATCACGTTCAATCCTTTGCTTTCTCGTTCGTCTCTCTTCTTCCGTTCTTCCTTCCTTCCTTCCTTCCTTCCTTATTTCTCCCTATCACCCTTTCTCTCTTTCTCGCACGCGCGCCTTTCTCTTGCCGACACCACCGATGGTAGCCTCCCCCTTTCTCTCTCTCTCTCTCTCTTTCTCTCTCTCGTTCACTCTCCTTCTTTCCCTCGCTTTATCTTCACACGTATCCTCGTTTCCGTTGCGTTATAGGCTTCGTAACGATTCGCTTAGGGACTGGAAATAGTTACTTTGTCGCTTGCGTTCCTTTTGTTCTTTTTGTTTGTTCGCTTTTTTTTTTACAGAGGTCTAAGAGTTTCCTTTTTTTTTTTTTTTATTTAGAGTAGATAATAGAGACTTTAGGAGACGTGTGTAATTACTTCGTGTTATTTAGTGTTATTTACAAATATGTATGTTTTTGTTTTGTTAATAAAATAGGTTCAAATTAGTCTTTGGCCCCGCGTGTCTGCTCCCGAGCGGCGGGAGCCGCAGAGTGAGCCAACCCGCGACTCTCGACCTCCGTCCATCGCCCCTCTTTTCGTCCTTCCACCGATGTCCCCTACCCCTTTCCTATTCCGCCATTTCATAGTCCCCAACCCCCACCAACGAGGCCAGCCGACTACCCCAGCCACAGCCCCTGTCTACCGAATCCCTTTTCCCTCCACCCTCCATCACCTCTTGCTCCTTTCCTCTACTTCGATATCCAACCCCCACCATCTCGCTTGCTACCACTACCCCTCGCACTCGTGCCCCCCCCTCCCCCCCCCACCACTCCGTGAACCAGCATCCGTTCTCTTCTACGTGTTTCCACTCGGCAAGGTGTGGGTGCACACCGAGCCAATTCCGCGGAGAACTCGCCGATGCTACCCTCTGGAAAACTCCGGTGGAGTTGTAAATTAAGGATTACCGAGAATGCAAATTAATGCCTAAGCGTACATTTCTCTCTACCTACTCTACCCTTCCATTCCGACGCAGGATCATCCTGCACGCTGGAAATACGCTCGAGTGTTGCTCCGTGTCGGGCCGCGATAATCGATTGTTATCCGTCCTTCTGCGGCATTTAGAACGGCATGCGGGATAATTCCTGTATGAACGTTCAACGAATCTCTTTCGTTCGTGTTCTTTTTTAAAAACATGGTGATTTTTGTTGTTTTTTTTTTTTTTCTTTTTTCTTCTTCCATTCGCCGGATTTATAAGGCTTTACCACCTTTCACCCCCTCGAGAACCCTCGAGAACCGCTCGGTGCAAAGTATCCGGGGAAAAAGAAAAGAGGACGAATACGCGGCTGCGAGAAACAACTTCCCTATTTTCCTTTTTTTCTCTCTTCCTCTTCTTTTTCTTCTTCTTCTTCTTCTTCTTCTTCTTCCACTTCTTCTTTTCTCTCCGCCCTTTCCTTCTTTTTTAATTAGCCGAGCTAATTTAACTGGGACAAGCGAGAAAACGCTCTCTCGAATTTGGCGATAAATCGGCTTTGCGAATGTGAGGATAAAGAAAGAAGTGGGGGAGGAGGGAATGGAGACGAAGAAAGGAAAGGGATGAAGAAAAAAAAAGAGAGAAAAGGGATAATCCACGTTTCCTTCTCCCAGGAAATTTGCAGTACGGTCTGCGAGAAATAGGCTAGGACAGAAGGGGCAGGACTTTAAAAATGCAAAATTGCAGTGATTCAGCATTTATCGAACACCTGACATCCTATCTACTGCCAACGGGGAAGTTTCCACGAGCTGCCATCAATATTTGCGCTCGGCGTAGGTATTTCCAATCGAGGGCGAGAAAAAAAAAGGAATATCTCGAATCAAACGTGTTACCAGTTAACAAATCGATGTAACGGTTGAAAATAAACCAAAAAAGAGAGAAAGAGAAATATAAAAGAGAGCAGGAAAGTACGAATTCTCACGAGGGAAAGAAAAAAGAATCGAGAAGAGAAATGTTGAACAGATTCTCCCGTTTGGGGACATATAGGCACAGCCTCCGATTCTCATCCCCCTTCCAATCCCCTAAACCATATTCCGCTCACAACCTATGAGTCGTCGTCGTCGTCGTCGTCGTCGTCGTCGTAGGTTATAACCGGCTGCCTTCGCGCCTACACACGTATTTTCCACACGTAGAACGACAGCCCCCGTACCTTTGCAGACTTGCAAGCTAGGCTGTACAGAGCTATAAGCAGGGCATGACACAGCACACATCGGATTCTCGCGGAAAGTTCGCGTCGAATTTTAATGGAGGTGCTGCCATCTCCTAGTGACCCTTGCAACTGGACTTTCTATAGATATCGATGAAAGGAAGGGAGGAAAGGAGAGAGAGAGAAAGAGAAAAAATAAAAAAAAAAACGAAAGGGGGGAAAAAGAAAAACGAGGGATGGGGGTTGAAATCACTCGGGCGTCGAGCCCGACTTCCCTCCCTCCCCCCCTATCGCGAATCTGATTAATGGATGGATTCATGGGCATGTATTTATATGGATTTAAGCGGCGCTTTCGCGCACACACACTGCACGCAGGGAGCGTACGTGTGAATTCGCGTGTATAACCCGTTAGATCTGAATTAGGCTTTGGGAAACGTGTGTGGTCTGTTTACACAGACGTGTGCGGAGCATGTGCGCAGAGTCGAGCACCAGAGGGGTGGCACTTGCACACCGGGGTCGTACATTTTCTCG